TCCCTCTCTATCTATCTATCTATCTATCTATCTATCTATCTATCTATCTATCTATCTATCTGAGATAGGTGGGTTCTGTATTTAGGTGTGAGTTAGATATTTGTTGATGAGGTTTCCCCCACTTTTTTCCTCTTTTTATTTTCAGTGAAAAACAAAATCAAGTACAGAGCCAGTGCCTGTATAAAAATACAAAAGACAGTTCGTATGTGGCTATGCAAGAGAAAGCATCAACCACGGTAAGAAGAAGACCTGTATAAATACTTGCAGCATCCTGCTTGCTAATAAATCTCATGACCTGTTTGATAGTAAAGCTTAATGGGAGAGGATGTTCTTTCCAACAAGCACACATATATCTGGACTCATAATATGGGATTAGTGTGCAATCACAATTTGTAGAGGGGTGGAGATGGGGGTCAAAGGAGCTGCCCTCAAGTTACTTGGAAAGGATATTGCCATATTCTGTCTTTCAAAGCTTCTACCTAGAAATAAAGTAGACAGTCAAATCTTCCCTTTTTTGCTGTTAGTGTTTCCCTATCCACAACATAAACATTGGTGAATCCCTCTGGGCCACACAGAGGAGAACCACAGTGTTCCTGTCCTTGCTTACATGGCAAGCTAGTTTTGCACATCCACCCAAGGATGGCATATCCCAAATTAGTGTAGGAACCTCATACACCAAAGCAGCCTCGAAATGCACCTGTCCTCATGCAGATGATCAAAAATGCTGTCCTCATGCAGATAGTAGAGTTGGAAAAAGAGGGGAGAAGAGGAGAAGCAACATGGACTAATTGTTCTGAAAGAATCAGCTGAAGAGATCTGTAGCATCCACTGACCAGAGATTGGAGTTTCACTGAATTTGAAAGAATAAGCCTAAGTATTAGTGATAGTCCAAATGTGCTGTCTCATACCTTAGGGTCAGTGATGGAGTCTCCTAGGTTTTCAGTACTGGAGGATTTTAATCTCCATGCCCTGAAATTGGGATCCTCCATGGCAACCATGGACCTATCCCAGGAGAAGACATGTAATGGAATGGTTTGTGCACAGAATATTTTATGTGTATCTATTTTTTATGTTTGTAGGAGTTTCCAAAGCTTTTTGCCCATACTTTTTATTCCAAATTTTAATTGCAACACAGACCAAATTGATAATACGAAGTTCATTGTAATTCTACTCTTCTGTCTCTATTGGATCCCAATGATGTCATTCAGAAGTAGTTTGAAGGCACAAAGGATAGCTGTGTGTTTTGCTATCTGCCTCTCAAATATAAAATATCAATATTCCTTTCACAGCATAGATGGCCTAATAAAGCTTCGCACACTGAAAAAGAGACTTGATAAATTCAATGAAGTAGTAACTGCTCTGAAAGAGGGGAAGACAGAAATGAGCAAGCAGGTCCAGGATCTTGAGAAGTCTATTGATGCTCTGATGGCCAAGATCAAGGTAGGATGCCATTTCATGCTATAGAAAAAAGGACTTTGTATCAGGGCCCAGCAGAGGTATTTGATTCCAATGAGCATGAGCAAAAGAATGACCATGGAAATATCTTTGGCAGTTGTAGACTGATATCTGTAGGGTACCCGACCAAGTTCCATACTATAACATTTCAAATCCTAGTTATTTTATTTTATTTTGCTATTTTGACAATCCAAAACTTTTAGTGAGGGAATTGGAATATGAGATCCATGTTTTTTTTTAAAAAAAAGCATATTTCCACTTGTTTGTTTGATTCTGGGAGTTGTCATTTTTCCATAACTTGTTTTTTTTCCTAATCATGGGTTGGATAAAGACGCAGAGATTTTCCCACATATAAAAACTTAAAACCTTATTCAACAATTTTTCTAGCATCTCAAATTTTGGCATGTTGTTCCACATACTTTCGAACACGTCTGCTACCATAAAGGCAAGTGACTTGAATTACTTTTTTTTTGACATTTTTCAAGGATTGGGCGCAAGTCCTGTTTTTCCCTTTACGGTTTGATGGCATAGACGTAACACCTTTTAGTAAGAGACAGAAGGTGTAGACTAGGTTACCAGCCTTAGTTGTGCCTGTGCCACATTCAGCATTCATGAGTAACAGTATGGACTATACCAGTAAGCTGTTGGATGGGATTGCTTGTGGGTGGACATATAAGGGTTATCAAATCAAAAAAAGTGGACAAAGCTTAGGAAAGTTTAACACATCCATTTTGCTGCTTTGATGGATGGACATAGTACCTGAATTCTTGATTTTGTTTGTATTCTTTCTCTCTTACTTGCTTTTTAAAGCTTCACAATATGTGCAAATTATTGTGATTGTTTTCATGGCTTATTTTACAGGCCACTGAAATGCCTAGACAACAGATTCAGAAGGAATATGATGCCCTAGTTAAAAGCTCTGAGAAACTTTTGAGTGCCCTTCAGAAAAAGAAACAACAAGAGGAGGAAGCTGAAAGATTGAGACACATCCAGGAAGAAATGGAAAAAGAAAGGAAAAGACATGAGGAAGAAGAGCAGCGTCGGAAGAAGGAAGAGGAAGAAAGGCGACTGTGAGTGTGAAATAATGAGTGGTAGAAGCAAAGGCAACTACAGATGCCATATTTTGGAACTAACTGTTGGTTCTAAGCAGAACCAGAGTTCTGTTACAAAAGAACAAATAAAAATATTTGTGGGAAAGTGAGGGAAAGGGTTTTAATAGTTCCTAATGTTTGTCTGCGTGTTTCTAATGGGCTTTCCATTTTTCCCACCCAGGAAGTATGAGATTGAAGCAAAGAGAAAACAGGAAGAAGAGGAGAGAAAAAAAAGAGAGGAAGAAGAAAGAAGAATTCAGGTGGGGTTGAACAGAAATTTTTTGTGCTGCATTTCCTGTAACCTGATCCACAGATATAACGGGGTGTGCACGTGCATGGGGTGTGGTGACTTGGGCCTCTTCAGATTCCCACAGGGGTCTCCAACCATGCTACCATGATCTTGTTGCAGTCTCCCCACAATGTTTTGGATGAGCCAACTAGACATACTGCCACCAACCACTTTACTCCAGAGAAATCCTCTCTGCCGCTGATTTACTAGGGAGAGGAAAGTGGCAACCTCTTTATATTATATGTTATCAATTATATATTATAAAATATAAATAGCCATGGGCAGAACTCAAGTGCCTTGGGTATATACTAAATTATTAATACATACAGTGCCAACAATTGAAGAAGACGATCAACTGCACCTCATTTTCTTTTTGTTTCTTGCCAGGGAGTTTTGTTGGTTATGTTAGTCCTGTATGTCTTGGTGTAGAAATCTGTAAAACATGCCTTGCCAAGCCTGGGCAATAACATTTTAGTAGACTTCCTTCCAGTCTCAGAGAGCAACAAAGCAGATGTTCCTTTCGGTAGAGTTTTCTCTCAGGCCCTATTTAGTGAGCTTTTCTTTTGATTAATGCCAGATTGAGTAATCTAAAACAGAGATCTGCATAAGAAAGTGTCCATAGCAGAAAGGAAGATGACGTGGTAATATGATCAGAATAAATGATGATGCCAGCTCATCATTCTAGGAAAACTGCTAGAATAGGGGAATAACTTCATAGATTTGCTCTTGGAAAAAGAAAGTTCAAGCAAAATTTTCAGATGGTATCACCATAAATGTATTGGAATGTGATTACTTGAGTCTTAAGCTGACAGATCAGATGTACAAAGATCATGTATTTGGTACTCATGTAGGAATCTAAATAGAATTTAGCCTGTAGAAAGCTACAGTATTCTCAGTGTATTTTACCAGTTGAACCACTAATATATTCTCTTAGAATGAATCTGTTTTTCAGTACAATAAAAAAAATTCCCTTATATTCTGGAACCAGACCACGGAGCATGTTTCTAAGGCCAAGTTATCTGAGACAGCCCTGAGGCTATGCCACAGTCAGCACAGGCATGCTCCTCAGGCTTGTGTTGACATTGTAAGTTCATTTTAAAGTAGAGGATTGATGGATATGTGGTCAGATTATCAGAGTGGTGCTTGGATCTTCCCTTTGCCTAAAGGCAGTACCTGATTGGTTCAGCTGCCTATTGCTAGGAAAACTTATTTCCCCTAAGGCTTTGGCAATATCAGTTAGTCTGCCAGGACAACACTTTTACAGTCCAATCAGCAATAACAAAGAGAAAGTTGCTGTTCTGGCCACCCTTGCTGACACTAAAAGCAGCTGGATGATCAGTGGGAGAAGTGGCCATAGAAAAATTAACCTAGCAGATTCTGTTGGCCAAATTCCCTTCAGATCTCACAGTACTTCTCCTTACTCGATTCATTATGTAGACATATATACTGGGAATGTATCATGGTTTTTTTGTCAGTATCATGATAAATCAGTCTGATGTTCTTAACAACTAAACTCACAGACATTTTGAATTTTAAAAAAAAATGAACAAATTATTTTGGTTTTCAGTATGCAATTCTGATTCATTCCCGTGTAAAGATTTTGCTTCTATTACTAAACCTTAGTTTCCTAATATATAGGACTTCCAGTCTCTGAACTTCTGTCCTTCCTTCTTACTAGTTATAAACTTTGATCTGCTCTGAAACCAATTTTCTGAGTATGGCTCTAGGAACTGCAGCATTAAAGGATTTAATTCTCTCATCTTTCAGTAGCTCTGATTATTCATCCACCTCACTGGACTTAGAGATTTTAATTATTATCAGAAGTAGTGAGCTGAGTTACTGAGTCCACTTACCACCCCAAAAAAGTCTTTAGCTAACAACTATGTTATTTTTCAGCAGTTTTCCAGAGGTGGACCCATACACAGGAAAACACTAAAAATCATCAGCCAAGATATTTGTTTATTTAGCTAAATACATGCTCTAAATACATGCTATTTTACAGCCTGAATAAATAGGCAGTCATGATGTGGTAAGCAACATATAGTAGCAATTATCAAAATAACAAGAAATATAATCAGAAATACAGTACTAATAAAGTCTACAGCTTAAGATAAATTAAAATATTTTTGAGATATTGACCATTTGATGTCTTATGAATGATGCAGAATAATCTCTTCTCCCTCCTTCCCTCTGTCCTCCAGGAGATAAAATCAAGGCTATTTCTGATATAGCTGACAGTCTAATTTATAAATTGACAAGAGTCTGCAGTACAATTTTAACTATCAGTCAGACTGGACTCCTTATAGTTTTATATCTTTTAGATCAAATTAGCTTAGGCAAGCCCTATCTAAGCAGGTCTCAGTACCTGGCCAACCTTGTTTAGGTTGGGAAGTTTAGTAGTTAGTATTCATATATGAGACATCCAAGGAATTCCAGGGAATGCAAGGCTAAACTGGGAAGTTAAAAAAAAAAAAAATCCCAGAAGGCGGCAGTGGCAGATTATTTCCATGAAAGAGTTAACTTTTTTTTTTTAATGAAGAAGTTAAGTTTGACTTGAAGAAGACTTTACCTTGAAGATTGTTTGAACCTTAGTTTTCCTTCATCTATGACTGTAATGCTTTATGAATCAATAGCAGTAACCATTTGGATATAATTAGGCTAGGTTGTAGTTGCAAACCACAGAATATTTCTTAAGATGTTCTTGGAGTATAAGTTCCAGAATTCCTAGTTGGCATGGCTACTAGAAGGTTGCTGTATTGAGTCTAGCATCCCTAGACAGTCCTCCTATTCTACCAGTGGAAAGAGCTCTTTTAATTAAATTATCTTTTTCCTGCCTCTGTAGGCTGAAGTTGAGGCTCAGCTGGCCAGAGAGCGTGCAGAAGCGAGTCAGCAACAAGCTCTTCTGGAGCAAGAGCGCAGAGATCATGAGCTGGCCCTGCGAATTGCCCAAAGTGAATCTGAGCTCATCAATGATGAGTCTCAGCTGGACCCGAGTTTGCGCAGGTATTGTATTGTTATCAGTGATGCTGTTGGAAGAGGTGGTTCTATAATGATGATGATGATGAAAATAACACTTTCATTAAATAAAGCCAACATGCTCATATGTCATCCTGCATTTGAACACATTTAATCCAGAGGCTACTCTGCACCACAGCTTTCCCCAACCTCCTGCCATCCAGATATGTTGGGGCTGCAGCTCCCCAAATTCCCAACAAGGATGGCTTTTAGCCATTGCTGTAAGCAATTCTGGATATTGTGGTTTGACTTCCAAAGTTTCTTGAAAGCTGCTATAACAGATGTTGGCTAGGCTAAACATCTGTACTACTTGTCCTCTGTCAAAGATTTGGGAATATGGTATGGAGAGCAGTTTCTGAACTTCATGGAGAGAGGAAAAAATAAAAATTCCTTTACAAATCTTGCTGTGCCTCTCCATCCCTGTTCAGGCTAAATAGTGCCCTTCTGTACCATGCTATAAGCAATCAAGGCTGTCACAAAGGAGATTCATCTGTGTCTTTGCCATTTGAGAATTTCCCTGACCCACATTAGTGTGGATACATTCCACTTTAGCTCCTCAGAAATTGCTAGATTTGCAATTGCTATTGCTAAAAGAAATAATGATGGGATGCATACATCAAGCTTAGAAAGGGTTCATTTATTGAATAAACCATACTTGGTTGGATTCACCAAACATGCAAATCAAACCTAAATAGACCATATTATTTGTAAGTACAGTGTGGAAACCTACCCAAGATTTAGGCTGCCTTACATATTATTCTCATTGTGACTGCATCCCTAAAAGACATGTAAGTGGATCTATGGATGATGGCAACATTTTTGCTCAGAGATTGCTTTTCCTGCCTGCCTGCCTGCTTGCCTGCCTGGATTAAACCATTTGAGCACATGCATTCTTGCCTAGTTCTTAGAAGTTCTCCTAAACAATTGGCATAGGAAGCAGCAACTTTTTAAGCACATTTCTTTATTTGTTTGTGTATTTATTTTCTGTTGGGTATGAATTTGGGTGCAATTTTCCCATCACTGAGTTTTGCTGACGCTAAAGCTAGAGTTTGCGATTGAAATGAGGTGGGTTCCAATGCCTCTGTTCTACAAGGTTCATTGTGAGACTTCAAGCCAATCCCCTTCTCACAATGTGAAGTACCTTATGGGATGATTATGAACCTGAAATGGTGGTGAGAGGGAGGAAAAGTCAATGTATCTATTTCTCAGCAGCTTAAATAAATGTTTAATGCCACTTGTTGAAACCAGATTCCTGTTGATCTTGTAAGAGCATCCATTTCTGTACCCAGGTTGATCTTGCAATGTAGATCAGTGCACAATTTCGGAGAACGTCAGACTAATCTAAATATGTTCTGTTTGCAGACCCAATGGAACAAGGTGTCAAATGACTGCGTATGAAAACATTTTTCCCTTTTGGGACATTCCATACAAATTGAGGGTGGGAGGATAAAATTATTCTAATGTTCATTTTAAAAGCAGTTTGCAAAATAATTCCTTACTTTAATTTGTCCTAATTAGTCATAATTTGAGCACGCAATCAATGCACCCTATTTGAGTATCAGTCTTTCAGATCAATTATATGTAGATACAAATCCTTGTAACTTAAATATTGCATATCTGAATGGTTGTATATACAAAGAACTGGTTAATTCAGAGTATTTATTATACTATATATCAGTTGATTTTGTTAGAACAATCCATTAAATCCTGCATTCCCACTCCCTAACATACATTTCTCATGTTTTTATAGGGAACAAATGGCCATAGAAATGTCAGAAATCTTGTCTAGGTGGGTGAAACAGATTGCTAGAAATAAATCAGTTTCATCACCAAATGTAATAATTATAAGATAAATTAAAAGATAATTGATAAATTCCATTTAATTCATTTCTTCAAAATAAATACATTCTAATTAAGATTCATTCACTGCACCAATTTAGTACCAATTTGGAAAAATTAGATTTCTTTTCTAATAATTTCACTATTAGATTTATGAATGGCATGAATAGGAATTAGTTTTTAATAAAGTTCTGCTAGATCATGGATTTCAATAATTTGCTCTCTCTTCTTTTTTAAAATTTGGATGTGATATCAAGCATTTCCAAATTTAGAATTCTTAATCTTTTTTCTTCTTGATTTCTGTAGGCAGCTATGAAAAATAAATGATCTGTTGAATTCCTGACAAATAACAAATTTGAAATTTTTCTTGTTCTCAGCATTCTCCCGGCTAGCCTTCCTCAACCAGTTCCTTCCGAATGTGCTGAACTGCAGCTACCAGCTATTCTGAAAAAAATAGAAGTTAATGTCCAATATATTTTGAGGGCATCAGGCTGTGGAAAATTATAAGCAGTACAAGACATAAAGCACTAATAGACAAGTGGCAAGCATCTGATACTCCTGTTTTTAATAATGTTGGGATTTAATATTCATTACTAGAAACTGGGGGATCTTTGAGTTGCTAATTAAAAGTTATGCAGCTTCATTTGTTCAACATGTGCATTGATACAGGGTTTGATGCCTGGAGTTAAAGAGGAAACATGTTTTTATGCATGGACCAAGATGAGTGCATGCTGGTGTTCAGATATTCCCCTATGACCATCTTGTCTGTCAAATTGTATTTGACAGGAAATATCCCAGGAATTATCAAATAGAGGCCTCTGGGTGAGGTGATCCAATCTGACAGTTTGGGGTGAGATACCTTCAATATGCTGATGATACCCAGCTTTATATCTCCATCCCAGGCCCTCTGAGTGATGCTGTGAACTTCTGACCACACTGGCTGTGGCTGATAGGCAAAGCAGCCCAACACATTTGGAGAGTAGGAAGCTGAGAGTATTATTATTCCAACGTGTACTTCCTTTCTCCTCCCATCTAAAAACATAGCTGGCTATTCAAAATAGCAGGAGATGAACGTTTGGGGTTGCAGGCTGCAAGGATGAATATCAACAAACAGTGTGCTGTATTGGGATATGAGTAAAAAAAAACTTCAGGGCAAATCTGGACATCCTGTAGCTCCAGGACTATCTGCAACCAGGGATGCTAAAAATTAATGATCTATTAGGCTACAGGAAAAGACCTATAAAGCCCTGGTACCAGGATACCTACAGGACTACCTTCTCCAACCAGGATCAGCCCAACCTATTAGAACATCCAGGGAAAAACCTCTTAAAGTCCCCATTTCTGAGAACCGGGGGGGTGGGGGGGGGCTGAAGCTAGAAGGGGGGCTGCTTGAAGACCTCCTGATGAAGATCAAGTTAGCTCCCTCCCTTCTAGTTTTTGATTAAGTACCATCAAGTTATTGTAGACTTTTAAGCTACCACATAGATAAATTTTCTCCATGTAGATCTGTCCCTAACCTGCTCCTCCAGCTCTTTCACAGTCCACTCATCGCTACTGTAACTGAGTTTATCCATCTTGCTGCTGGTCACCATTCTCTTTCTTCCACCTTTCCCAGCACTAGAGCCTTGTCCAGAGAGCTCGGTCTTTGCATAATGTGTCTGGCTGGTTTTTAGCAAACTGTTAAAAAACTGAGTTATTTCAGAGGGCTTTTGCAATTAGTTTTAAACTGACCATTTTTATACAGTACGAAAGCTGCTGAGAGCCATTTTATTGTGGCAAGGTAGGAGTTTGAGAAATAAATAACTCCCTCCCAACCCAGGATAGGATAGAAAATCCTGCTTGCATGATGTATCCAGTCCCCTTGCCTCCTCATCCAGCCATCACCCGATATCAGTCTCATCCCTCAGGCTCTGGAAAGGCTGTCCATAAAATACTAGGAATATGTATCCTTGTGAACCTCTGAAATCAGCATTAAAAAAGTAATAAATTGCACATGTTTCTGTACCACTTCAGCTTAGCCAGCTGTAAGCAATTAACAAAGAAACAATAACACAATAGCAGAACAATAAATGCATCTTTCTACAATGGGTAAATAATCCCACAATACAGTATTGATAGTGTTGCATCCCACTCAGGGCAATGGAATTACTTCATCTAGTCTATGAAAGCCTTCTGAAATAGCCAGGTCTTAATGGGGTGTCAGAACAGCCCCCCCCCTCAGCTCCCGGAGCAGGCTTTTCCATAGGAGGGGAGCCCCACTGCAAGTACCTGCTTCTAAGCCCCTTCATGCCTAGTATTCTGAGAGGTGGGAACGCTCACCAGGCACCCTCTGCACGGGTTGAATGAGCAGATTCTACCCAAAATACATGGACTTGAAGATACCCAAGTCCCAGACCACGTATGGCTTTATAGGAAATAATCAGCACCTTGAATTCCACTCAGAAACAAGCTAGTCACCATTAGGTGGTAACTATGTTGTTCTTAAAAGAAGCATGCACCTCGTTCTCTACATACCGTGGGAGACTGCTGTTTGTGGAGTGTTGTATGTCTTGGTACAAAAAATAAACTGGAATTTGACATGATCATGCATGGAGACATGTGTATTAGCTGTGAAGTAACTTATGTCCAGGTGGGAAAGGAGCACTGCTAAGTCCTTTGAGAATAAGCTTCTATTCATATTTTTCTTTGGATTTTTAAAAATTATTTTCATTTCTTTTAATTTAAAGAACAAGCAGAAAGAGAAAGGGTACAACCTTCCCCCCCAATACATTTTTTTTAAAAAAAGGAGGGGGAGGAAAAGCATATTAAAATGATTTTAATATGGATATTTCTTCTTCGAATACATTCAAGGCTAGGCAAAGAAATGACCACAATTTGAATACTTTTCCAAGCAGATTTGAATAAGTACAAACTAAATTTCCTTTTCTCTTAAATAAGTATGCCTAAGAAGCGTGTTGTGGATATTACCAGCCTTTGCAGCTGTCTTTTTTGGGGACTCCTCCTGTCTGCTTTGCATTCTTGACCTTGCTTGTTCTTTTCTTGAATATTTCTGCATTTTTGTTTCTGGGTGTGTTTAGGGGACCTTCAGTTCAAGCTACCAAAGCTGCGGCTGGTGTTAAAAAGCATGACCTTAGCAAGTGGAAGTACGCAGAGCTGCGAGACACAATCAATACCTCTTGTGGTGAGCGTTGTCACACTTGGAGCGCGAGGGATCCCAGGACATAGCAATATTTGGATCTCTTTTCTTTCACAGAATTCTGAAAGCATGAGTGAAGAATGAAGCGCCTGATGCAATTCTAAGAAAACAAACAAGGCCTTGGATCACTAAATAATTCTTTACTCAGCTCTAAAGGAGAAAATGCCTTGAGCAAAGTTGCTTCAAACAGCTCCATATGTCAAAAGAAAAGGAAGTGGAAAACATTCAGAACTGAGCTGCATATAAGAACCAGCAGGGTTCAATGTAGTGCAAAGGCATTACATTTAAACTTAAGTATTATTGCTAATCACTTTTAAATAGTTTGATCTATGGTCAATATCAACCGTTTACATTTAAAGTTGAGTACCGGGGTGCAGTCCGTGGGCCTAAAAACTTTTCACTCTTCCAGATGTCACTGGGAGTGTTGGAGAGAGGAACCTGGAAGGCTATATTCTGCTTCTATGGCTTGTATCAGATGTTACTAGCTTTTGCAGGGTTGTCCTTGCAAGCTCAAGATTGAGAGATCCAGACTAAGCAAGGAGCCTGCTGAAAGTGTTGAAGCCTCCTTTTTTTCCAAGATGGGGTCCCCGTTCAGATCTACCCTCATTTCCTATTTTTTTTTTTTTAAAAAGGGAAAACATGCTGATACTAAATTGGATGTGATATTAAGTCTCCTTCTAAGTAGAGGAATACAGGGATAGGCCTTATACCTAATCAATCCGTGAGTCTAGCCAGTATTATCACGCTGTCTGGCCATGGCTTTCCATCCCTACTTGCAGGTGATGGGGATTACACAGTGGACCTTTTTCAGACAAAACAGGTGCTCAGCTACTGAGCTCATAAATAGGGGGAAATTAGACAGGTAGATATATTGCCTTACTGAGAGCCATTTTGGTGTAGTAGTTAAATGCACTGGGGTGGAAACTGAGAGACTGAATTCTAGTTCTGTCTTGGGTGACTATGGACCAATTACTAGGGAAAAGGCAATAATAAATAATAAACCACTTCCAAAAATGTTGCCAAGATCACTGCATAGACTTGCCCATGCAGTCATCAGGAATCAAAACTGACTCAAAGACACACACACATACAGACACTGCCAAATTGCCCCATTAATCAGGTTGAAATTGAGAGGCCCCAAATCATGATATCTCTGTTTTGGCTATTTCAGAGTTTGGCAGGGTGTGTGTGTGGCGGGGGGAGGGGGTGCACAAAATCAGGAAACACTTCTGTTTGATTCTTCCAACTTCTGAGGCTGCAGCCTTCTCTGCACCACATAGCTGAGCACAGGTGCCATTGGACAGGGATCAAAGGATTGTGCTCTGGGTCTTTAAGTCCCTTTTTCCTCATATATGCCTAGATCCAGTAGGAGGGGGAGGATCAGTTGGGCTGGGCTCAGGCTCAAAGGGGATCCCATATTTAGACAATAGGGTGTGTGCTTTTTTACTTCAACCAAGTAAAAGCAGCAAAGTTTCTAATGTCTCAGATATAAACATACAAACACACACATCATTTTGATTATGACCTGGGTCCTCAAAAGCTGGAAGAGGCCCTGGTCTTTCTTGATCTCTGAAAGGGCCTGGCCATAGCAGAATAATTAAATATGTTTGGAAATAACAAAATGGGTATTTTAAGAATACAAGCTTTAGAAAATACTCCTTCCTTTTTTGTACAAATTATCAGTTTATGCACACTGTATATATGTAATATTATGAATATAAGGTGCTCTGAACTAATTTTTTCCATGTCAACAAATTCATAAACATATTCACCTATTTGTTTTTCTCACTTATTTCTCACTTATTCCATCCCTGGTGCTTTTGCTGGGTAAAAGATATTGAATTGCTGGCAGCTTGCAGAGAAGAGTTTCACAGGCGGCTTAAAGTTTATCATGCCTGGAAAGCCAAGAACAAGAAGCGCAATGTCGAAATGGAACAGCGGGCTCCCAAATCAGTGACTGATTATGGTAAGGGAAAATATTAATTCCCCTCCCCCCCCCCAAAAATGGGTGTGTGTGCGGAGGGGAAATGGCATTGTGAGCACGTGTCTCTTGGAAATATTGAGAAGCTTGTTTTTACCACTTTGACTAAATGGTCTCAAAGGCAGCATCCTATCTGAACAGCTTTGGATACATGGCAGGTTGAGATAGTCTCAGTTCTAGGACAAAGACGAAAGGCCTGGTTAAATGTGGTGGATTAGTGAATAAAGCTAGTTATAGAGTATTGCTGTTTAGAAAGACGTATAGCAGTATATTACTCATATAGTAGTAATTGGTGCTTAACCAAGTGCTGTCCAGATGTTTGTGGCTTTGTTTTGCTACAGACCAGGTGACCCTTAATTTCTTCTTCTTACAAGAATTTAAATAAAATTCAGGTGGGCCACAGAGCTTGGCAGGAACCACGGAAAAGGTCTGTGGACACAGTGGTATCCATAGTCACCCTCGCTGCCTACAGGTGGTACAGATCACAATCTTCAAATAGAAGAGTGTTTGTTGTGGCATGTCTAATTCAGATTATTCCATGCCGTTTCATAAGGGAAGTAGCTGTGCTGCCAGCACACCAAATTAAGGAAGCATATGGCTTGTATTAGATACTACACAGGGCAGCAAATTGGACTTTTCCTAAGAAATGGCTTGGCCTTGTTGTACATGTTGCTGAGATAGACTGAGATTTTGGGGACTAGAGAATTTAATGGAGTGGCTGGACCAGATCTCTTAGCTTCTGAGAATGAATGTAGGGAGAATGGGAAACAGGATGTAACACGAATTCTAAGTAATGGATTTGGGCCATTCCTGCCCATCCGTAAGAGCCCTGTTGGAACTGTCCAAGGCTGATCTGATCCAGCGTTCTGTTCCCAAATGTTTACCTTGCCTGTAGGAAGTCTGCAAGCAGGATGGGAGCAAATAGCACACTTTCCCTTGTGTTTCTTAAGATCTGCTATTCCAACGTATATAGCTCCTAATAATGGATGTAATGTTTAGCCATCATTTCTAATAGTCCTTGAAATAACCAGTATAATGAGAAGAGACCACTTTAAACCTCCAGAACTATGTTTTTTTAATTTATTGTCTGTCTTTGTTGTTTTTCCCAGATGGTATTACAGGTTTTAGTTTGCAATTTATGATGGAATTATTTTTGTCCTTTCCTATTTGATATTGGCTAAATTCCTCCTTTTTAAAAAAGAATAAAAAATAAAAAGTTCAAGTCTTGCTTGCAAAGCTTTTTTTGTGCCTTGCACCCTTCCAGCTAAAAACAGAGCTCCTGTTCTCTTCCATTGGTCTCTTATTTTGAAGCCATCCCCGGGGTGGCTGGGCGTGGCCATCAAGCCACAACTCACTGGACCCCTGAAAAGGGAGTTTTCCCTATTGCTGAATGGAATCGTTTTCTCTTGTATCCTCAGTATTAAATTTTGTTTTCAGATTTTGCACCATTTTTGAACAACTCAAGTAAGTGGGGGGATTATTTCAGCTAATTTGAAAGAAAAGGGGAAAGTAGTACCACTTTACTAACATAATTGTGTTTCGCTACAGTTTTATTAAATTGATTCTTTAGAAGTACTCGTAAGGGCTGTTTAAATACAATTAAAGAATTGTTGGAAAGGACATTGGCCAGCGGGGACATTCAGGTTCTTTTAAGAATATTGGCATTATTTACAGAAAGGAATAATTTATTTGAATAAAAAATTTGTATACTGGTTTAATTTAAATTCCTTTCTTCTGCCAGGAGAAAGTATTTTCTCCATTGTAGCAAAACACTGGAATTGTTACTAATCAACTAACCTTTAGAACAAAATCTAACATTTAGGAGCCTGTTTTAGGAAGAGAAAATAATTGCCTTTGCAAGGAAAGTGCTTTTATTCACTATGTTGATTATCTTTTGGGAGAGGGCAGCTGTGCATAAGAATGAGGGGAAAAAGACCGCTAAGTGCCAAGCAAAGGGCTCACGGTGTTCACCGTCCTATGTGTTAATTCAGGCAGCGGGTAGCCAAAGTCTCCATTAACTGCAAAGTGTTGGGAGATGATGTATAGAAATTGATAAATTACCTAGCAAATCAATCAATTGAAAACCAATGGGGATTCAGGATTTTTTACAAATAAAAGTACGTGGGCCATTACTTAGATTTGTGATGTCAACTGATACATAATTATGACTGAAGGCTAGTTAATATGAAACGGTCTTTTTTGCCCATTTTCTTTTCACGGATGAGCTGCGTTATTGTTTACTGATACTAATGATGGGAAATCTTTTCACAGATGTTGCTTTTTACAGCAGGATAAAAAACTGCTATTTCTGTATATATAAACACAATATTTTGAACATATTTTTTCTTCTGTTCCAGCAATCAACAGCCTATCTAGAAATAAGGAGGGCAAATAAACAAATCTGATGTGACCATAGCTTCATCCCTCTTTACTGAACTAAAATCCAAAACCAGATTTATTAACTATGATTATCTGGCTTATAGTTGAAGTTATTCATTGTTAGTTCTTTCCACATACTGGAATAGAAAGAAAAGTATGCCATGCCCTCCCAAATATTGTATTACTGAACTGCTTTCTCTGCAATTGTCCACAACAACATTGCATTTTTAATATCCTATTTGAAATCTAAAAAGTCAGAAAATTCCTTTTTTTCTGTTTTTAATGTGGGTCTGCAGGTGACTCAAGTGCTGCCTTTCTCTTCATCTATACCTATGTCTTATTCTTTTTTATCATCCTTTTACTTCACCCCAGGTTGGGAGATGACTTGCTTTGTACAAAATATACTTTGAAAATTATATTCCAGCACTATTTTACATAGACACTTTTTAATTGGACCATTGCCATTGGGACTATAGTGTACATTTAATAATTTGTTATGTTCTTTTTTCTTTTGCCCAGCTTATTTATTTCATTGAATAGACTCATCAGCTAGGATCCATGATGCAAACAGTTGTTGCTATTGATAAAATTAAATCCATGTTGGTTTAAAAAAATGTTGTGGCCAGTGCAAGATCTCCTTTCACTGTTTTCTCTTTACAGAACGTATGTTCGAACTTGTCCTACTTTTCTGCACAGATTTTTTTAAAGGTGATGGTGGTGAGGAATGGTTTTGATCTTGGTGACAAATTTTAACTGTAGTTATTCCTTATAGCTCAGCAGAACCCAGCAAGGCAACTGTCTGTTAGACAGCAGCAGGAGATTGAAATGAACCGGCAACAGCGATATTTCCGAATTCCTTTCATCCGCCCAGCAGATCAATACAAGGATCCTCAGAATAAGAAAAAAGGCTGGTGGTATGCGCACTTCGATGGACCATGGATTGCTCGTCAAATGGAACTTCATCCTGATAAGCAACCTATTTTGCTAGTGGCTGGTTAGTATGTGTTTCATTTTCTTTTTTTAAAAAGATGGAAAAGTAGGCTTTGTTTTCAGTACAAAATGTACTAAAGATAAATCAAGATCTGAACTATAGTGCAGAGCAAAATATTGTTTTATTCAAAAAGATTATCTTCACTTTTATAAGAATCTAGAATCAGATAATCAAAGAAGTGAATTGTCCCTTGAGAGAAGTAGCAAGTTGTTCCACTATCAACCTAATAAGCTAGTTGAAGCACCAGCTATTCTAGTAGCTGGCCCAAGGCAGGCCCTTCAAAGACAGCTGTGGCCTTCAGCCTTACTGCTTTTCTTAACGTACGCTAAATTATTTGTTTATTTATTGGGTTTTGGTACTCCAAAACTACTCCCAGAAATTTACATAGTATAAACATAAAACATGATAAAAACATAAAATCAATGTCTTGATATAAAATGCAAGTGTGTCTGTCTAGGTTGTTATTATTCTCTGCTATCAAAACTGCTTGTGATCCAAAAGTAATTATAGGCTACAGTTTGTTTTGGCAGCCCCAGTATTTCCTCTCACATCATGGATCTCAAAGATTCCCAGTATTTGAGGCTCAGGGGATTGGATGGTTAAATAAGCTGCAGTTATAAGAATTTGAATAGTTTTAGATCGCCTCTTCTACATCTAAGGCAATATGTTGGGAAATGGGAATGAGGCTAGCTCTTCTTGAAGCTTCATTCTCAATTTTGCACATGTCAAAAACTAAAAGAGGAAGGCTTGGAAACCAATGTGCATTATAACTTTTGTGAAATCTGGCATTTCCTTCATTTCAGGCAAGGATGATATGGAGATGTGTGAGCTGAGTCTTGAAGAGACTGGCTTGACTCGTAAGCGGGGCGCTGAAATTTTGCCACGGCAGTTTGAAGAGTTTTGGGAACGCTATGGTGGAATCCAGTATCTTCAAAGTGCAATTGAGACCAAACAAGCTCGGCCGACTTATGCAACTGCTATGCTGCAGAACTTGTTGAAATAAATAGTTATTTTGCACCTTCTGAGTAACAGAGGAACTTTTAACATTCCATAATCATGTAGAGATGTTTAATATAAACAGATTTTATTAATGTGTCGATTTTTAGTTTGTACTTTCAATGTTTTAATTTGTGTAGTGAGCTCATTCATCCTCAAAATCTAAACTTTTGTTTCCGTCAAGTGTGTAGTTTGCTTTGGGTCAGCATATGGTAATACCAATAATACTGTAATACAGAGCAGGAGTGGAAAATCTATGGCTCTCCTGTTGTTGCTGGATTCCGACTTCTGTCCACCCCAACTAACATAGCCAATGCTGTGGGGTGAAAGTCCAGCAGTAGCTGGAGAACTAGAGACCCCCACCCCTGATGTAGCATAACACACTACCAAAATATAGTTCAGAACTACCCAAAATGGCATTTCGTCTTCTGTAGCACACCTCCCAGGTACTATCTAGAAGATGAATTTCCACAAGATAGAAGATGCACTGTTTTCTCCACACTAGGCTAACTAGAACTGTGAGGCCTTAATGTTCTTAACATCTTATGTACAGAAGTTAAAGCAGACTTTTATAAGGTGAAAGGCAGTCCTTCAATGTCGCTTGCAAACAAGCATTTTGAGAAAATGTGTCTTAAGATTGATTGCCGGGTGTCATGTACGGAGAACAGAAAAACTTGAGCCTGAAGTGCTTTAGCAATTCAGAACTGAAATGGTTTGATGCACTTTTCAGCAGTTGTGCATGTGTGTGTGTGTGTTTTCTTTTTTAAAGTACTTTATTTTTTACAAAACAGGTTCCTTCAGACCATTCATGTTTAATTTTCTGTCATAACTCTATTGGGAATCCTTTCTTAGTCAAAGTTAAATATAATTCACAGAGGTGGTTCAATATATCTCTCTGCAGATATTTAAGGCTGGAATCACCAGAGAAATGAACTTCATGTGTTAAGCCAGCAAAGCTGAATTTGAATATAGGGGAGCTGAACTTGTCCTTCTGTGCTTCACTGAAATGAATATGGATTAAGTGGATTCTTTCTGGCTTTTGACGAAATGGCAGAGCCCTGGTATTTCTAATTACAATATGCTGCTTCAAATGGCTTAACTTCAAAGTGTTCAAGTATTTTTTTTTTCTCCTAATCTAATAGATCTTTTCTTGTTGCTAATCTCCCAAGTTCAGTCTTTGTGGGCTTTTCTTTTTCTTTCTTTTTGGCAGGGTTTCCTTAATGGTGATTAAAATACTTATAGCAATTATTTCTTTCAGACAGTTTTAAGTTGCCTTCAGTTGATGTTGCAAGATAATCTAATGTCAGCATAACAAATCTTGGTGTTATCACAGTTTTGGGAGCTTTGGGGAAATTAAGAAATGTCATCTAATAAAAAAAATGCTGACCACACTAGGAGAAGCTTTCTTTCCTTTATTAGAGTAAAACACTAATTGCATTTCTCAGCTCTGATTTTTAAATCTTCAAATATGAATTTAAAAAGAAGAATGAGCTGAGTTTATTGTGGTTACTAAGTTTTGACCAGGTTGGGGGTAAAAAAAAGGAAACATATTCATAAACTTAAGTAATATTCTTACTCTGCTTAAGATTCTTGAGAATGATAATCAGTTTATGTATTCACATGTGTAAATATTCTCAGATCCAAATGAACCAGTCCAAATGAACAGTGCAGACAGCTTTGACAGTTTTAGGCTAAACTCAGTCGGCTCTGTTCCCCATCAGATGATCAGCAAGATTAGAATTGTTGAAACTAAAAATATATTTCACCAGTGAAAGCTCTTCAACTTGCAGTAGGGATTTCTGCTCCTTTCTACATCACTTGCCATTTCGGAGGCACTCTGACTGTCAGTAATAACTTTTCCAAACAATAAGGATAGCAGAAAAGAATAAAAAGGGGATGTAAAACCAAGTCATGAGTGTAACTCCACTTAAGGTCCTTTGAATTCAAGTGGATGTTTGTACCTTTTTTTCTTTAGATTTGTTTTTAATCCTGCCTTTATTATTTTTATAAATAAGGCAGTGAAGATTCCTAATCATCCTTCCTCCTCCTATTTTCCCCACAACAACAACCCTGTGAGGTGAGTTGGGCTGAGAGAGACTGGCCCAGCCAACTTCCATGCCTAAGGCAGGACTCTTAAGCTAGAGTTCAAGAAACCAGAAATCATGCATATGCTTTTTCCATATGTAGAACTTGACCCAGACAGCCTAGAAGCCTGTGTTCTCTGCCCAGAGAGCCCTCTGATCACGGTGGGAGAATATGAGATTGTGTTCCATTAAATAATCACTAGATGAAAAACTTATGATCAGCTGCAGAAGGCAAGAAGTGTGTGTGGCCAGATAGTTTTCAAAATTGTCCCAGTTTGCTGAGATCGGACTGCATCTGTGGTTTTTCTTCCCCATTTTGAAATTAGAACTTATCAACATCAGTCTTCCTACATACCATTTTCTGCATTTAAGTTGTGTTTTCTCCAGTTTGTGAAAGAGCTGTGTGATGGGCAGTTGTGATGGGAAGGAATATGCATCATCTGCCCAATCCTGCTCACTCTCTCTCCGTTCCTCAAAGCATCAGGCTTGTACAGAAGAACTTCTGGTAGGTTTCATGAAAAGCCTCTAAAGGCTGTAGATTTGTAGATTGCTCACAAATCCCATAGTATAAGCTCTCTTTTAAGAACTAGATTGTTTATGCATATGCTAAACTTGTAAATATTTCTCCACCTACCAATATATCTGACATTAAATTTAATTTAATAAAATGGTTTATTAGATAATGCAGAGGCAAATACCAGATATGTGCCCAGCTAGGTGGCAAGGTCTAGTTGACTTTGGCTGATCTTAAAAATCTAATCAGGATAAGATCTAATCAGTATTGGATGGGAGCCAGGGAATACCAGGACTATTGCCTAGATTGGGAAGGTGGGAAAAAAGGGGCCATGATGGCAAACCACTTCCATATTGCTGCCACAAAAATTACATGATATCACCAAGAGTTAAGCTTGACTTGAAGGACTTGAGTTATACATGATAGGTTCATCATTGATCAAGCCCAGCTTGTTGCTTTGGTTAATTTGTTCCTTTGGTTTCAGTGGGAGGCTATATTAAAGGCATTGCAGGGCATTTGTTAACTACATCAACAGTGTTTTTATGCTGAAATATGAGGGGGAGGCTGCAAATTTTCTTGGAATAGCAATTAAGAGAGAAAATTGTTAAACCTTTTGCTTGCAAACCATGTCTCCATTGACAGTCCCCAGCTGTTTTGCTTCTAATTAAGGATGACAGTATCCATGCAACATGGATAAATATTGATTGGAAAAGTAGTTTTCAAAGAGAAGAATGAGGAAAAGCTGCTTAGTATTGCTGCTGTAGAGAAACACAAAATCCTCTACAATTGTACTGCCTTGTAAAACAATAGACTGTGTTGAGTGACTGCTCAGTCAACTCTGTCAGAATGTCTTAGCCTGCATCATAGCTAACGTTAAAACAGATGACCATATTTTCAAATGGTATTTCTTTAATATTTTGGATTAATTTGATCCAGGTATGTCTGGTTATGTCTGCAGTTATATCACTTGGTTAGCATAGTGGGATAAAAGATGGTGAGGAGTTGGTGACTTGATGCAGATTTTCCAAATTCCCTGTTAAAGGAGGAAGTGAATTTAAATAGGTATTACATTGTTTTCTAGATAATCTTTATTTAACTGCTACCATTACCTCCTATTGACCTACTTGGGGTTCCTTCAAATACGCACTGCATTAGCAAGTTTGGCAGATTAATATAGCATTTCTTTTTTTGCCCCCGACATATAAATCTGGCCAGAGATTTCAGCATAAAGATTATTGAAAATGCCTGTTTCTCAACAGAAGTTAGAGACTTATTGCTTCCTGCATATTTTTGATCTTTCTCATGTGAAAGCCCCAAGGATACAAAGTTGGTACACCTCCAGATAATAAATGCATTTACTTTGTGCAGCTGATATGTGGTTTGAAAGTACAGTGAGTGTTTGGTGATGGCTATTCCACCTACACAGGCCATCATATTTGCTTGCATTTGCTAAATGAGGAATATACATATATGGATCTACTCTAAATCTCAGGATATAGCAATCCTAGTTCCATGACCAAGTACATAAAGTAGCATGCAAAAGTTTAGGTATTGCTAATCAACTTCAATACTTCAGTGTACAACATGGTACAAAATTAAACACAATGTCTTTCTACAAAAAGACGTAACTTGTACATGGTACAAAATTAAACACAGTGTCTTTCTGCAAAATTCAAATGCATGCTTAGATATTGATGTGCCAATGTTTAACAATTCAAAATAAGGAAAAGCATGGACATCCTTTCAGTCAGTAATTATAGCACCTTCTTTGGCGGAATAGCTTCCAAATGTTTTCTGTAGCTGGCTAGAGCTGTCTATTCTTGCTTTTAGAATGTTTTTCCTACTCTTCCTTGCAGAGCTCAGAAATATTCTTAGATCTCACATGCGCTACGTGATTGATTGTCAATATCATTCAATTCTGGGGACTACCCCCCTTTTTTCTCCTTCAAGACATCATGCTTGATTTGGAGATATGTCCCAGGTAATTGCCTTGCTGAAATAACTGACTGTAGGACATTAGCTTCTAGAATTCATTGATATTTACTTAAATCCCTCTTTCTCTCCATCTGTGCAATATTTCCTGTGCTACCAGCTGCCACACAACCCCAAAGTATAATAGATCCATCCCTATGTTTAATAGGGATGGATATATTTTTCAATTTTTTTTTTCAAATGCTTCACCATTTTTGTCCAAATGCATCTTGTGTTGTTATGGCTGACCAGTTCAGTGTTCACTTCATCAGTCCAAAGCATTTTATTTGAAAATATTTCAGGCTTATTAAGGTTTTCCTTTGCATATGTGAGATGCTGACTTTTATGATGATTTCAGTAAAAAAATTTCCTTCTGACAATTCTCTCATGCAGATAACCATCATATACGCAAACACTGTTCTGTGGGCAGCTGTTCCAAAGTCAGCTAAACCTTTCAGGAGGTCTTAGTAAACCAGTGATTGTTGATAAGTATAACATATGGTCGATTTTTTTCTCTTCTTTCTTTCTTAGTTGTATTTGTCTCTCTTCTATTTTTTTTAATTTTAAGATTAAAGGTTGTTTTGATAATTGTATATGCATAAAATAAATTGAAAAAAAACAATTTTAAGTAGGTCATTTCCTGTGATTGTGGGTTCTGTGCAGGTCTGAACAGTTTTCAGACAGCTCTAGCAGAGATTTTTCTTAGTTTTCCAGTTCTCACCTTGACTTCAACAATTCCATGTAACTTCTATGTCTTAACAGTGTTTGTTAGCTGGAAAGTGTTAGCTGGAAATTGAAAATCATTGGTTGGAATTTACAGATTTTGTTATAGTCTTCCTTTTCTTTGTAATGTGTATTATCTTCGTTTTCAGATGCTCAAATAGCTGCTTAGAGGTTGTTAAAAATAAATAGAACAATTATAACCTGACAGATTAGAAAGGTCAGAATATTTTTAACCTGTGGAATTGGTGTCTCTTGGCTAAATGTACAATAAACCTAACAGCTTAACCTCCTTTTGGGGCCTTATTAACAACTTTATGGTTTAAAAAAAGTAGCATCAAATCATTTAGAATAATGTCCAAAGTTCTGCATCTGCCATGTTAATGGTTTTCTTATTTTGAATTGGTAAACAACTGTACAAAATACTTAGGTATGCATACAGATGTGCAGAAATATGTTGTGCTTAATTTTGTACAATGTAGAGGCTGTGTCAGCTTCTGTTCCCTTAGGGATTCATTGAATCATATATTGACCAGGTGTACCTAAATATTTGCATGCAGTTGTAGATCTGCATATAACTAACATTTCCCTGAACAGCACAGGATCCTTAATGTTACTTTGGAAATGTACTCATCATTTGTAATTGTACCTCTTTTGTCTCTGGCTTATTTTCTACTAAGCTGTTCCAAGTACTTTGTCAAGTAACTTTGTGTTCTGCAGATTGTAACAAAATAAATTCACTCTGTCGATCTTTCTGCAACATTATTTATTTTAAAAAGAATGGGAATGCTTGGGAAATTTTGACACTTAGATTTGCTTTTTTCACAATGGTTTACCA